AAGGTATATGAAGCAAAAAAACCTTTTTAGGGTTCAGGGTTCAGGGTTTAGGGTTCAGGGTTCAGGGTTCAGGGTTCAGGGTTCAGGGTTCAGGGTTCAGGGTTCAGGGTTTAGGGTTTAGGGTTTAGGTTTAGGGTTTAGGGTTTAGGGTTTAGGGCTTAGGGTTTAGGGTTTTTGTTTAGGGGTTGGGTGGAGTTTAGGGTTTATGTGGTGTTAGGTGATCTCATCAGGGTGTATTGAGGGTTATGGCGTTCTTCTAAGGCGTGCATAGATTTGAGGGAGTGGTGTAGGGTTTAGGGTTATCAGGGTTTTAGGGGGATAGTTAGGGTTTAAGGCGTATATCAGGTTTCCGGGGTTTTTGACGGGTTTCGTTGGGTGTGTGTAGTGAATTTTGGATGGCGTGTGTTCTAGTGTGTTAACGTGTGTGTGTAGGGTTTAGGGTTTAGGGTTAGTGTTTAGGGTTTAGGGTTTAGGGTTTAGGGTTTAGGGTTTAGGGTTTAGGGTTTAGGGTTTAGGGTTTAGGGTTTAGGGTTTAGGGTTTAGGGTTTAGGGTTTAGGGTTTAGGGTTTAGGGTTTAGGGCTCGTTTGCTTCCCAAGGTTCAGGAGCCCTTTAGTCCACACAGCGCGCCCGACCACAGGCGGCTTTTCCATCTCCCTCGAGATGCAGTGCGTCACATGGAACCTTAGTTGTCCCGAAACCTGGGAAACCTTTGGGATTTTATAGGGTTTATATTATTGCCACGTCATATGGAACCTTGTAGTTGTCCAGTAACTACAAGGTTAAATTACTACCCCAATAAGGTTAAAGGATTTCATAGGGATTCTATTCCCCCCAAAAAGGGTTAGTTTGGCCAGTAACTTGGGGTAATTAACGGTGAACCTTTGGGGCTTTTTTAGAGGAATGATATTCCTACCCCAAAAAGGTTAGAGGATTTTCATAGGGATTCTTTAGACCCCAAAAAGGGCTAAAAGGTGACCTACTCTACTACCTGTCCAGTAACCTGGGGGAATTAACCTTTGGGATTTAATAGGGATTCTATTCTTACCCCAAAAAGGGCTAAAGGTTCCCTATACTACCAAGGAACCTGGGACATGATTCCAGGAGCTCCTCGAACCTCTCAGCGAAGACGACATCTTCGACCGTCTTGTTGCAGAGAAAGAGGTGGACCTCCGGCGGCTTTCCTTTAATTGCTGAGTTCCTTAAAGCCCCCCCCCCAAAAAAAAAAAGTTTCAGCCTCTAGAGGGGATTTAGGGTATCCCAAGAAGTGGAACGCGTGCTCACTCAGCTACGAAGTTGCTCACCTTCAAGGCGGCGGCGCAGACCTGGAGGGCCAGGGTCACGGCGCTCCCGCCCGCGATGACCACCACGCCTTCGCCCAGGATCCGCACGTCCAGGGTGGGAACGGGCTTGGAGACCGCAATGCGCGCGCCCACGTCGAGATGTGCCAGATGCTGGGTCATGATGCCCTGGGGGTACACCTTGATTAGCAAGTCCAGCTTGCCCTTAGCAAAGTCTTCAGCCTTAGTAGCCCAGCAACCATCTTATAATTAGGGCACCCTTTTCTTGCTTGGTTACTTGATAAGGGAAACCAGGACTAAAAAACAAATATAAAAGGGGGGAGAGGGCACCACTTGGGTCTACCAAGCAGCGGTGCTTATCGGCGTGTATGCCCTGCACACTGCATCACCACCGAGCTCAGCCACGAGGTCAACGTGCCAGACAGGGTCGTCGACACAGCCCAGCGTGGCATTGCCGAGGCACCTGGACACAACACACATGGGTGTTTAGGGTTTAGGGTTTAGGGTGTAGGGTTTAGGGTTTAGGGTTGAGGGTTGAGGGTTGAGGGTTGAGGGTTGAGGGTTTAGGGTTTAGGGTTTCGGGTACTAGGGTCAGTCTGACGCCCGCTCGTCCCTCAACACGCACAGGTCTGACCGAATGTCGTCGGCTTCCATCATTCGCCCAGTCACCAGCCTGTCGTGGGACTACATCGCCGAGGCGCCGGAACTTCATGCGAAAGCAGTCGTGGTTGACTACGCGGATCTTCTGCAGCTGCCATTCCTGCCAACAAAACTGTTAGGAAGCCCACCCGTTTTTCACACACCTGTGCAAAATTTGTCAGGTTGCTCGTTCGGACAATGTTTTCGTTACTACAAATTGTGTCTGTAACATGTACTGAAAGTTTGCTTCGTTCTTTGCGGAAGGTGGCAACTTCCTTGGCACTGTCCTGCGAAAAACACTGCCATATGTGCCCCCTTTGTTTTCTGAATTTCCTGCGCGATGGCATAGGAAGTCTGCTTTTGCTGTGCATGGTGCCCCTTCTGGGAGGTGGGTTCGGGGTCAGGGTTGGGAGCCTTAGTAACATTAGGCTAGGACCAAGGAAGTTCCCCTCAAAGGCTTGTACGGGTTTGTTCAAAACTGCCTCATCCTGGCGTATTGTTCGCCAAAAAACTCCGACCCTGCACGATCAACCCTACACCAAAATCCAAAACGGAGCTACGAGAGAAGTAAGGTGGCCCAAAGGACCAATCATGGCCGAGAACACTTAGGTTCAGCCCCAGATACAAACTCCGTATAAAAGAAGAAACGGCTCCCGCCCCGCGCCCCACCCCCGCAGAACCCGCCTTCTCTGCCCAGTCACAGTCAGAGAACTGCAGTTGTTCGGAAGCATGACATCCTGACTCCCGCTGCGCCTTCCTCCCAAGAGCTGCCTCGGTTTAGGGCTTAGGATTTGCAGGGGTTTAGGGCTTGTTAAGGGACTTCATTTTTCGGGTGGAAGGTTGAGGGTTTTGGCATCTTGCTTTATATAGACAGCGGCGACCTCGAAGTTAGAATTGAAAAACAGGGGGGGGGGGGGGGGGGTGCAGTTAGAATATTTTGGTGCGGAGGGTAAACGGCCCGATGTTACCCTCGGGCCAAACCTTGCAGTTAGAATATTTTGCCTTGCGGGGTATTGCACTGGCACTGGAGGTGCAGCGCACGCTCAACACAACTCTGTAGGCTTGCACAGTAAGTCCAAGCAATGGTGTTAATGGCTGCGGGGTGTAGTTCTGGGTCCAGGCACCCTAGAAGGTGGTAAGTGCGGCCTAAGCAGGCCTGGGTGGGAATTTCGGGTGTAGGGTTGAGGGTTTAGGGTTTAGGGTTTAGGCTTTAGGGTGGGTCCGCCGACCTGCCGGCGTGTTGGATGGGAAAAGGAGGTGAAAACCTCCCTCTTTCCCTCCTTACCCCCCCAAAACGCGCGGGGGCGGGGGAGGGGGGGTCCCCTTTTCCATGGAGGGCCAGACCACCCACACAGCATAAACTGCCCTACCCCCCCCTACCCCCCCCCTACCCCCCCCTTCCCCCCCCTACCCCCCCCCCACCCCCCCCCCCCCCCACCCCCTACCCCCCCCCCCTCCCCCCCCCTCCTACCCCTCGCCCCCCTACCCCCCCCCCACCGACACCTAACGAACGCGTTTAAACCTTTCAACTATGCTCCAG